ACTTTTATTAAAAATTGAACTAAAATTGTTAGTATCATTAAAAACAATTCAAATTCAAAAATTGTATCAGTCAAATTCCCTCATTTAAGGTGAATATTAAAGTAAATATAAATACAGCTCATTCGAAGCTCTACTTATCTTTAAGAAAAATTTAAATCATTGTTGCAATTGGGCCTTAATGCCATTTCGAATGAACAATAGTATTAATAATGTACATTATAATAATAATAAATTTTATATCATAGCGTGTATTAAAACTACTAAAACACTTTTAAATTGGTATTATATTAACAACTTTTGTTTTTTAATCCAAAAAAAGTTACCAATTTTCTCAATCAAAATATTTGTGGTCCTGAAAAGGACCTTCGTTTTCCCATGTTCGTCAAGGTAGGTAATGGGTAAGCGGTAAAAAAAACAGGATAATGAAATTTAAAAAATTACAAAAATTGTTCAAAAGTGCCTCCCTCTTGCATTAAACAATAACCCAAACGATCATAAAATCCCCTCCTCACATTGGATAACATATCAGGGGTGACAGTGTCAAAGGCATTAAATATTTTCTGCCTTAACTGCTCCAAGTTTTGAATTTCTTCATGGCCGTAAATTTTAGATTGTATGTACCTCCATAAAAAGAAATCATTCACCGAGAAGTCAGGTGAAATTAAACGTCAGTCTAAACAAAACTGTCATTTTTTAAAAGTTCTCAAAATTTGGACTCACGCTAAATGGACTTGATTTTCCTATGTCTCGAAGTCTGTGGACTTTTCTGTATAATCTCACAGTAATTTAATAGATTGCTCGTCATATTATATCAGCTCGTAGGAGATTAGGAAAAAAAAAAGATATTAAAAATTAATTTATTTAACAAAATTTAATTAAAGATGTGACAAAATAGTTACATTTCTATTGGTTCTATCGGACTTTTTTCGACTATATAAATTTTTATTTTTTGTAAACTTTAATGCATAAAATATTTTCAATCTAATAAATAATTTAATGATGTAAAAAAGAGGAAATTTCTCACATGGGTGGTCAAATTCTATAGTTTTCATTATATCAAACAAAAAAACGGTAAAAAACAGGATAATGAACAGCCTCTGAATGTTTTCTTCAGTGCAAAACTCACCAAAATTTAATATAAATAATTTTTCCAGCCTGTAAATAAAATGAACAAATTTTTCCACTTTCATGATCAAAGGCTTATAAATGGGTAAATAATTTCGAGTTATCCAGAGATTCGGATTCTTTTGCAAATTTTAGACAAATATCACATTGATGTATTTGAAGACCCTTTTTAATGATGTAGTCAAACATAATTAAAGGCATTTTGAGTTGAAAACATTTCTCAGAGGCTGTTTGATATAATGAAAACTATAAAATTTGACCACCCATGTGAGAAATTTCCTCTTATTTACATCATTAAATGATTTATTAGATTGAAAATATTTGATATATTAAAGTTTACAAATAAAGATTTATATAGTCGAAAAAAGTCCGATAGAACCAATAGAAAGGTAACTATTTTGTCACATTTTTAATTAAATTTTGTTAAATAAATTAATTTTTTATACTATATATATATCTTTTTTTTTCGTTATAAATAAACACATTTGCATCCCATTTTAAATAAGATATACAAATTTCCAAAACTTAGAAATAACAGTTCAAAAGTTCAACAAAAATCCTACACGCGTTTTTAAAAAGAAACTTATAACCACGCACTATGTCATTCCAGCAAGCGAATACGACACAGCATAGGTCTCCGGACTAAACGACTGGTGTATTTACACCACTCAATAGGCGTGTCGGGTTTGCCGAGCGGTTTCCGATGCAGTCGCTTTCTTTCGCATCTGTTATAGGTAATTTGTGCCATAGATAATATCAGCTGCATATCGCGCCTGGATAATATATGATTTTTAGTCTTATTAGTCATATTTTAAAATATTATTTTTTGCTTAAATTTTTAGAACCACTGGATTTTTTCTGTAAATTTGTAATTTTTTCTGTAAACTTGTAAATTTAATCTACTACCTATGTTGCCATATTATGAAGAAATTATTACATTTTTAAAAAATATTGCTTGTTTTTATACCAATTAATAAATATGTCCAATACTCATCAACTTTTAATCTCGCTAATCTTTACTCTCTATTAGTCAATAATATTTTTTTTCCGAATTTAGACCCATACCCTGCAAAAATATATTCTAGCACATGCATGTGAATTTTCCCAGACCCCACTAAGATTGTACGCAGGAAGCATGTACAGGGGGTTTATATATTGTGGTCCTTTTCTTATCACCTTAACCCCCGATGTTTTCAGGTAGAGATAGCGCGTTATAATCCGCCAGATATATTTTATTTGATGGATAGCAGAAAAAAGTGTATCTTCACCTATAGATACCAATATCTATTAGATAAAATAACCTTATCCGTCAGATATCCTATTTGGGACCTCAACTGCCAAATATCGCTTTATTTGTCGGATAAAAATTTGACACATGAGGAGATTTTGATTTAATTTAATAAAATTGCTTAACATAACCTAAGACATTCTTACTATTGTAGATTTCGTTTATTTCAATAAATTCGATTTTAGATTATTTCGAAAAGACTTACCTATTCTGACCCCCGGTGTTTTCAGGTATAGATAGCGCGTTATAATCCGCCAGATATATTTTATTTGATGGATAGCAGAAAAAAGTGTATCTTCACCTATAGATACCAATATCTATTAGATAAAATAACCTTATCCGTCAGATATCCTATTTGGGACCTCAACTGCCAAATATCGCTTTATTTGTCGGATAAAAATTTGACACACGAGGAGATTTTGATTTAATTTAATAAAATTGCTTAACATAACCTAAGACATTCTTACTATTGTAGATTTCGTTTATTTCAATAAATTCGATTTTAGATTATTTCGAAAAGACTTACTTATTCTGAGTATGTAGACTATAACCATTTTAGAACGTATGAGGTATAAACACTAATAAACACATTGAAATGGTGCAAAACACTATTGTTGCTGGTGTCGGACTTTACAAGGAGTATTACAAAATAAAAGGAGCCTCTGTTAGAGCATCAGAACGAAGAGAATGCATTAAGTCGGGATAATAGTGATGAAATATGTACAATTACCAAGTAAAAATATAACTCAACGACAATTTATACAAAATAAATTATTTTACTTAAATCCCTTCAATTAAAAAATAAATAAAACTTTTTAAATCAAACTATTTATTTCATTTTTAATTCTCATATCTTAATTCATTAATATTACAACAGGAACCTTAGAAAACCTGTTATCCAATTCACATTTGCTTTTATTTCTTTTGTGTTACAATTTTAATTTAATTTCTTGCACTATGTACCTTATACTTTATACATCTCTTCTTCATGCTGTTTTTTAAGTAACTCTCTAGCTAAACCTTTTTAAAACACCTCCTTTAAATACCAGTTAGTTCAACTTTTTTACTGTTAAAAGGTTTATTAATATCAACTTTGTTTACACAATATTTTTCCTGGTTTTTTTGAAGTTCCATCACTTGTTTTATATTTTTTTTTTATTATAACAATTATTATAGGTGCTTTTAATTTATTATTAATCAAGACAAAAGTATCTAAAATCATCTACATATATAAAATGCTAATGTTTATCTGTGTCGTCTCTACTGAAGTAACGACTTGCTCTAGAAAGTTGCTTTTTACTAAAAGATAGCTAATTGGCTCTTCTAAAAACTGTCCTCGCCGGATTTTTTGTTTTTCATTTAATTAAAAAAAAATAAGTATTTTTTTTCCTGATGTCGCTGTCGTGGCGGATGCGCCAGGCTTCAACTAGTACACCAATAAATGAGGAGATAAAACCGCAGTACTGGTCTTTGGGGTTATATACTTATTCTCAATCTTGCTTTTCTAAAGAAAAATAATATAAGTACATTTATCTATTTTATAAAATAAAAACTCACCTTAATTACTATCATCGATGCTATCCTACCTATTTCTTTATTATGAGAAGCCCTACAACAATACATATTTGTTATTATTAACAGCCTTATGCTATTTTTTTACCAGATTGTGGTTTTAGGATTTATCTATAAATCTCGATCTGCTTGCACTTCACCAGTTTCTTCCATATTTTCTATTATCAATTTATTGTACTAAAATGTTAATATAATAAATATAACAGTAATATCATATAATTAAATTATAAATTAAGTACTTACACATACTTTTTTTCTTGTTTTAATTTCTTATAAATCGCATTCCATCAACAGATCTATTTCACAACTACTGTTGAAAGTTGAAACTGATTCCCTTTTTCCATAAAACCAGTGGTATACCATAATAGAACTGGTCAGAGTTGAACCACAGGTTGAACACAAAATATATTTTAGTTGAATTTTTTATTTTCATTTGGACGATCTTTTGACAACGACAACTGAATAATAACCTCACTTTTTAATCTAACGATTTGAAATTCCCAGTTTGTGTCTCTGTCTGTTGCATAGACTTTTCATATATGTATAACCATCTCAATTTCAGATATCTTATATTGGCAACACTTTCTCTACGGAGTGTCCTCCAAATTGTTATCTTTTGGATTATTTTGTATGAAAATGTCCTCCAAATTGTTATCTTTTGGATTATTTTGTATGAAAATACCCAAATGTTATATCCTATAGATAGCAGGCTCTAGATTGTTTATCTTTTAGATAGTTATTTGTTAGATAAAAGCTATTTATATATCACTGAAAACACCGAGCCTAGAGTCTTATACGCTGAGTTATTATACGCTGTACTTTCTGGTCGCTTTCATGGGTCGAGTAAATACCGAACGCTTATTTTGTACTTTTTCGTACTAGTAAAACTGTACTCTTAACGATCAGATCAGATGGCAGATATCCAGTTAACTGCTTAGAACTCTATATTGTGATAATATTGTTTTGTTTTAAACCTTAGTTTTTTTGGTGACGATAACATATTTATTTTTTTCAGTAATTCGAGGTGTTCGCAGGCCTTCAAGAAGGCTTGTTATAGATGAAGTCGACTCCAATCCACGCTTTAGGAGACAAAATCCCTTTGGTCCCTTTGGGATTTTGTCTCCTATAGGAGTCTCCCATGAGGACGATTCTGACTCTCGGTAAGTATGGCTTTTTATCATCTTAAATATAGGTACCTTATTGTCTTTAATATATATTCGGTTCTCTTGACCGTTTATTTTTGTAACAAGATGGATTTTCTCTCGAACTCCATCGAAACTCCGTTAAAAAAGCAGTGTACGGCTTCCACGGCGCAAACACGTTTCGCTAAAGCCGCGTCCAAGCTACTCGAACAAAACGTTCGCGAACATATATAATTCACACTATATACTCGTAGCAGCAGGTCGTAAACGACGGCACAGCCCATCGCATCGGTCCCGAGGACTGAGGTGCGGTGAAGAATGCGACAACCAGTTTGCTCTATAGATCTAGGATGCGTTTAGGTAGTCGCTGTTTTTTCGAGTGCGCGGATTTCGAGTGCAAGCATTTTATTAAATGAATTAACCGGTAAACAGTTTAAGAACTTTTGTCGTTGAAGAATCAATATTTAGCAGGCGGAGGGTCACAGGGGTCTTTTGGCAGATTATTCGTTATAGTGTATTTTCAAGATCTGTATTCATTTTCAGCCGATTCTACCAGGTGTTTCTCAAAAGGGGCTCACTTTTTTATTTTTTCAGATAATACAACGAAATTTGGTTTGTTAGTATATGACATAAATTGGGATTGATTGACGTATTCAATTACCTTCGGTCGCTTCCTGTTTCACCGGAAATGACTACAACTTTGTATTTTTAGATTGTATCCTAAGTACTTTTTTACTATATTTGATAGAATGACATACCATACGTCAATTTTAGACAATTCCAATTAAATAAAAATAGCATTTTAAATTTCAATCTAGAGTGCCACTGAGTTAAAAGTATTAATTTGTAATCAAAGAACTTTGGAAACATATATTTGATCGTGTAATTTTTTTTCGTATCCTTTCATGGCCGCTTAAAAGATGCCCAAATCGTATTTTTAATGATAACTCAAAATTTTCAAATGTATATACGTATATACGGTAAAAAAATACCGAAGGTACCATTTAAATCAAATGTTGTTGTCATTTCCGGTGGAATAGGTATATAGTGACCGAAAATAAATGAAAACGTTGATCAATCCTGATTTATGTCCTATACTAAAATACCAAATCTCGTTTTTTATCTAAAAAATTAAAAAAGTTATAGAAGTGAACCACTTTTCAGAAACACCCGGTATATTTATTTCTAAAAATGTAATGGTAAAATTTCATTTCCGGTGTCAAACTTCCTATTAAGTAGTAATTTTTAATTTCAGAATCCCATAATAATTCCGGTTTTTAATAAAAATAATCATAAAGGTCTTTATTAACAAAAATGAAATTATATGGACGAAGTCTAGCTACATAGCTATTCACACTCAACCCACAATAAAATTATAAAATCTTCTCTTTGTGTAAACAAATTAGTTGTAAATGTTTTTCAGGATCCCAGATCCCAGTCAATAACTGCGTCTCCCATTGTCGAATACTCGGTAAAAAATAAAAATCACAGATGCACGTCCGAAATTAAATGAGACCCTTCCAAGTGTCCGGTACAATGTCCGCCGAAATGCACGCCGTTCGCTCCTCTTGATTTACCGACACCCGTCGGAAAAGGAACGCGCGCGCTCTAGCCTAGGCAGACGCACGCTCTGGCCAGTGCCTTCTATTAAAAGATCAGCCTACGGGCGGACTTTTGTTTACTTCATCAGCTGTACATACTTAGATATTGGGTTAGATTCCGTTTCATATTTTGTCGGTTGATTTTTGGTTTTAACTCTATGATTTTTGGTATTATTTATTATTGTAGTGCAAAAAACTAATTATTTTGGTGTTGAAGTGACATAAACTACTACCAGATATATGGTCACTCTCGGTTTCGCATAAAAAAATAGAAATTTTAAAAATTACACGTTGTGTAAGTGATTTAACCGAAAAGTGCCCATACATTTTTTACTTATCGTGATTTTTGTGTGTGTTTTTAAGACTCTAACAATTCATCAATAAAGCTTAAGTGGAGTGTGTTTTTGGTGCTATGCCTCATCTTTGTTGTGTTCCTGGTGGAAAGGATAGTTACTAAGGATAGTTATTATACTAGGCAGCCTAAAGTGTCCGGAAGAGCAAGAAAAGTGGGTACGAGTTATAAATCAAGAGAATTTTATTGAAAATATCTTTAATAAATTTAAAAATAATATTCTCCCATGATGGTATTAATGAAAACTGGACAATTAGGTTTATTTTATTCATATTGTGGAATCTCCACTCCAAGTGTTGCTGGTTCAGCTTCGATAGATTCAAACACGTAAGTAGGTATTATGATCTAGGGAAAAATAAAGAATATGTGTATTAGAGATCATGAAAAAGATTATTATTTTGAGTTCAAATTTTAAAAAAGATTTTTCTAAAGACAAGACTGATACAGTTTAAAAGAAGAATGTGTTTTTGTTTGATAATATATAATGTATGTTAAGCATAATATATATTTGTTCAGTAATTTTTAATGAATAGTATTGATTATTTATAATACCAAATTAATATCAAATATTTAAGTGATGGCTGAATACAATATGAATAAAATAACAATAAAATTGGTATATTTGCATAATACAAAATTAAGTTTTAAGAATAAAGGTGTTACTAAAAATACTAAGAAATTCATATTTCTTTGTTTTAATTGGTCTAATGTTATTTACATTTTACGTAAGAATTATACCGTATCATCGAAAAAATCGGCGTCTAGTTGGCTTGAAATGAACATCGATGACATTCCCTAAATAACTGTACACATAAAATAATTAACTAGAATTTTACAATCTTGGAAAATTTGATATTCTTGAACCTTGATTCTAAATATTCTAAATTTTTTGATTTTCTTGGAATTTAGGTTCGGGAAAAACGCTGATTGATTTTTCATTTGGTTTTTCATTATTTTTATTTGGTTTAAAAAACGGTTCGGCTAACATTATAGCCTCCATCAGTGTTGTGTCATATGAAAAATAGTGTCGAATATAATCCAAAAAATTGCATATAAAATATTCACACCACGCACATAATGTTTACTGCGTACCCATAGTCAATGTAGATAATTTTAGTGTTAAGAATAATAATTTAAAAAAATATGTGGTCATCTTTTGATAAGTTTATATTAGTTTATTAATTGCAGTAAACATTATGAGGTGTGAATTATATTGTATATGTAATTTTTTGGATTATATTCGACACTATTTTTCTCATATGACACAACACTGTGAAGGCTATAGTTAGCCGAAACGTTTTTTTTAAACCAAATAAATATAATGAAAACCCAAATGAAAACTTAATCAGCGTTTTTCCCGAACCTAAAAATCCCAAGAATATCAAAAATTTTATAATAATTTTACATATAAAATGCCAGCGATCTTCATTTCATAGCCATCGCTGACGCCTTTTTTTAGATAATATTGTATTATTTGTAAATATAATTTTTCGAACATTGATACTTGCAAAATATACATATAAATTTTGTGAATGCAAATAATAATACATCACTATTAGTAGATATTAAATGTTTTTTGTTAAATTAGATCGATTTTCAAACCCCAAAATTTAAAAATATATTTACATTTTACCCATTATCTTATGTACCTATACATTATTTGTACATTGTAAAACATTTGCTGCATTTGTATGGTTCATAGTTTATTTGCCAAAGTATTTATTACTATAAATAGGTATATATGTTGTAGTTATTAACTGTATATTATGTATATTTCATTTAAACTATATCATTTTTAAAATACAAACCAAAAATCTGAGGAATAATTATGTTTTCCATGTATTCTACAAAATATTTATTAATCCGTTATATCTAACTAGCGTGACGTCATAAATCTCGCCCGTAGGCTGATCTTTTAATAGAAGGCACTGCTCTGGCGTACAAGGTAGCCGTTCGGCGCTCCGCGCTTCTTAATAGGCCTAGGCTAGCTGTACTTGTTGGCTTTATTATTTATAAATCTACCTATCTCACAATTTTCACTTAGTATCTGTTTAATTATGTATGTTCGCGAACATTTTGTTCGAGTAGCTTGGACGCGGCTTAACATGGTTAGCGAAAGGCGCGTCCAGTGTAAAAGTAAAGTGTTTTGGTGTATTGTGGTGATTTAGTGTTTTATTTTGCCGTATATTTTACGACAAATTGTCGGCGCATTGTGGATGGCGTGTGCTGCCAACAGTAGGAGACCAGTGAAATCACACATGGTTAATAAAACTCATTTGCAACAACTAAACTTTTGACTTTGTTGTACTTTTGTACTTGCGGTGTGGACAAGACTTACCGTTTACGAGAAAAATCCAAAAAACCAAAAATTTTGAAATTTGAAATTGAATAACTTTTTAAGCAGACGTGGGATCGATGGGGACATTTTTCTTCTCCTTTATAATGGCTAACCTAAGGTCTCTACCAAAATTCAGCTTTGTCGGAATTTTTAATTTTATAATCCGCTACTTAAAAATTTTGAAAAGCTCTTTTTAAGATCAAAATGGTTTAGAATTTTAGAATTTAGAATGAGTGGGAGGGGGGTTAACCACTTCGACCTTAGAGATCCATTGTGTCCCCCCTTCTTGAATCATAACTCATCATACAGTCCCAGGGCTTTGACAAAAGCCAGTATCTGGGACGGTTTTATAGAGGGTAGTTCTCCATCTCCAATATCAGTCGTACCAAAATTCATGGCACGAATGGTTGTCGTCTCGGCGCACTCAGTGATGAGGTGTACTGGTGTTTCACCATCTTCCCCACAGAATCTGCATTCGCCGTTTCTTCTTAGTTTCAATCTACTGAGGTGTTCATTGAGGAGACAGTGTCCTGTTAAAAACCCCTGACAATCCGAAGATTGTTCTTACTCAGACCCAGGAAGATCTGTAATTTTTCTTGATCATAAGCCCTCAGAAACTTCTTCGAGTGTCTTAGACCATTGCAAGATTTCCATTCCAGGTTGCGGATGGAATCTTCCAAGTTCTTGAGTTCCGCCTTGAGTTGGTTACCACTTGGAAAGCAGAACG